TGAAGAATTTGCTGCATTTGGCAGTGCATCTTTGGCCTCATCTCTCACCCCCCCCCCCAGTCAAATACAGCAGAAATGACTTTAAAGACGTATGAACTTACATTTTGTGGTTAGGATTAGATTGAATATGGTTAACATGGCGCAAAACAATTTTGGTTAAAATTACTTGATGTTATATTTGAAGACTGCCTTTTTTAGTGGGCACCACTCTAGGGGATTCTCCTGGCTACTGAATTAGTAGATGAAGGAACAGGGCCACAGATCAGGTGGACCCAAGGAATAGAGAAGTACCTAGAGAATAGAAGAGCAAAGGTCTTGTGTCCAGGTTTCCATGGTCTAAGGCTGTGCTGGAGGTCACATATATTGACGGCACTTTTGCTTTTGTACTAAATGACGACACAGAACACTTAGAAATGGCACACAGACCCAGAGGAAAGGGGCAAGCCAGGAGCAGTTGGCAGTGTAGTACACAAATCAGTAAGCCCCTGCCTCATTCAAGAAAGAACTCTTCATCGTTCCCTTGTCATTGAAACACATCTGAGCACCATTGGGATTCTGTGTTCTTTCTTCCCTAAGAATAAATATGATTAAAAATTAGCAACATTTTAGTAAAATGCTTCTAAAACTGGTCATTAAATTTACTGGGGCAGGTTGTAAGGTGTGGTATCTATTGTTTCACTAATTGAAGGGCTTTAGTCATTGCCACTGAGATAGCCTTGCATCCGTTGGGGCATTAAATTTCTTTCTTTTCTTTTTTTTTTGTGGAACCAGGGATTGAGCTCAGGCCCTTGCGCTTAGCAGGGAAGCGCTTATTCTACTGAGCCATCTCCCTGGCCCCTAAATTTCTTAATGTGGTGTGGTAGAATACATCTGTAATCCCAGCATTCAGGAAGATCTGAGGTTCAAGACCAGCCTGGACCATTTGATGAGACAGTCTCAAAACAGTAAAGGCAGGGCTGGGGAGATGGCTCAGTGGAATAAGCGCTTCCCTGGCAAGCACAAGGGCCTGAGTTCAATCCCCGGTTCCACCAAAAAAATAAATAAATAAATAAAAATAAAAACAAATCAAATACAAAATAGTAAAAAAAAAAAAAAAACAGTAAAGGCAAGAATAAGCTTCTCTAATGCAGTTAAGTTATACTTGTATGATGCCTCCCAGACATGATTAGCAGTATACTCTGTATAACACTTTTTAAAAAAGAGTAGCTTGATTTATGGTCAAATAATCATAGAAAATAGTACCTGCTCTTCAATTTGCGAATACTCTTTCTGTACAACACTCATTTGGGTAGGGTTAACTTAAGGGGAACTGTTGTGACCATTAAGAAATTCCTCCCACAATTGACTGCTAACTTTGAACCAGGCACTGTACCCGGTATGGCTATACAAATGGACAAGAGAAGGGCTACAGCTAGAAGGTGCTAAAAGGTGTTGGCTATATAAGAGAAAGAAAAATTTAATACTATTTGAATTCTAAGAAGAATATGGGGATCCTTCGCAGGTGTAGAGACAAGCATAGGTCTGTCGGGTTAGTATTATCCCCTAGTTACTGCAGACTGATCAGGCCTGCAATCTTCTGAATGAGTGGATGGTAAAGACTTAAAAGAGACAAATGGCATGAAGTTAGGGCATTATGAGGTTCAGAACCCTCTAACAGAACTTGAGGTTCTCTAGGGGCTATGACAACTTTTCTGGGCTGCTCATATTTATTTATCAGTATAAGGGCAGGGGATTCTGAAGAATGGCAGGAATTTGTTGTGGTCAGTGGGAGAGTTTTGGGAGACATTATGTTAATTTAGGAGAACTATGTTATCTCCAGGAAGGCCTCCATAGTAGTGAGATGCCTGTAGTTAGTCTTTATCTTGTTAACTGAGGTTGGAGCCAGGTGTCATTAGCTGTGGCCTTGTCTTGTTCTGAGGCATCACAGCCTCACTCATCACAGGCTGCCCATCTCCAGACAGGGGGCCTAGGTCTGGGGCAGGCTTAAAAGTAAACATGGACAGCCAATTGGTTAATAAAAACCTGCTCAGAGCTACTTCTCTGTTCAGAGCTACTTCTCAGTGGTCTCCATCAAATCCTCCATTTTGGATTGTGATTGCAACAGTGAAAACATGACTAGCATTGTCGGGTTTGGTGTCTCCTGTAATAGAAGTAAAAGACCCAAGCATGTTAACATAATCAGTCCCTTGTACGTTCCAGCGTGGGTCTAGTGACAGCAGACTTCACCATGGGTTTGAAGATCTCTTCTCTCAATGGTCAGACTCATAAGTAAAGGTTAGTATAAACCCTGCTCAGAGCCACTTCGCAGTGGTCCCTGTCATAGGTTTCCAGTGCCAGATGTGGTGGTGCACACCTGTAATCCCAGCATTTGAGAGGCCAAGGCAGGAGGATCACTGAGTTTGAGGCCAGCCAAGGGTGCATAGTGAGTTCAAGGCCAGTCTGTACTACAAGGTAAGATCCTGTCTGAAAACCAAAACAAAATACATTTAGTTTATGTTGGACTCTACAAAATTGATGTGAAAATATCTTCTATGGGTGTTCAGTTATGGGACACTTAGGAATTTTTATTTTTTTTCGAGATTTAAGAATTTAAAAATTGGGGCTGGGGAGATAGCTCAGTGGTCTAAAGTGCCTGCTTAGGCAAGCGCAGGTCTGCAGTTAGATCCTGGACACCACATGCCACACCTGCCCCGCCCCCAGGGCTGGCCAAGCCAGCCACCAAAAAAAGGGAGCGAATTTAAAAATAGAGGTTGTGAGCTGGCCAGATAGCTCAATGGATTAAAGTGTCTGTTGAGGCAGACACCAGGACCGGGGTTCTATCCCAGCATGCTGTGCCAGCGGTGATTGAACCTGGGTGTGGTGGCGCGTGCATGCTTGTAATCCCAGTGCTTGGGAGGCTGAAAACAGGAGAGTCACTACAAGTCTGATCTGTGTAGTGAGACCCTTTAGACCCTGTACTAAAAAAAAAAAAAAGTTGAATTGCTTCTGTAGATTCAGCAAGGGTTCTTTCTTTTTTTTTTTTTTTTTCGGCCCAAAGTCTTAACTCTAGTTCAGGCTGAGCTTGATGTCCCTGTCTCCTAGGCTTACCTCAGACTCTTCAGGATCCTCCTGCCTTGGCATTCCAAATGCTGGAATCACAGGTGTGCACACCTGGTCCACTTATAAGAATCCTCAAAATTATTCAGAAGAAAATGGTGGGAAACCTTGGTTTTTAATTACAGAAAATTAGTATTTTTATAGTTAACTATTAGAACCTGGAATATTTAGTTGGGCATGATGCCACATACCTGTAATTCTAGCACTTGGGAGGCTGAGAAAAGAGGCCCATGAGTAAGGGCCAGCCTGGGATATGTACTGAGGTTAAGACCACCCTAAATGTATAGTGAGCCCCTGACTCAAAAAAAAGGGAACCTGGAAGATTTGAATGTGATGATACAATTTCTGTGTTAAGCAATAGACACTAAAAAGGTAAACTAGCCCTGCTAGTTCTTTTTGAAATTTAAATTGTCAATGGTTTAGATAAGAGTAAGATCTTGCAACACTGGCAGGAAGATTGAAATTAATGGTATGTTCTGGGTGTAGACATTCGTAGTGCAAGACTCTCCCAAGGTTGGTTAGTTAGTTCGTTCATTCTTTCATTCGTTCGTGTTGTCTGTCTGCCTCTGCCCTCTGCCCTCTGCCTCTGCTCT